AGTTAGTACAAAGTTTATTATTCAAGTTCCTTCTTGAAGAAATGTGCTGTCAGTGTTTAAATGAATAAAATATTTAAAATAAATAGAGGTGCAAACAGTAAATTTAAATATCATAGTATTGTACTTTCGCCTTGTCCAAAATAACTGTAAAAGTTCCCAGCTTTAGGAATTGTGAGGATGAAGAAAAGTAAAACCAGTGAAAATAATTGCCCTGTTCTGAATACCAGTCTTGTTTTCAGTGGTGTTTGTAGTATTTTTCCTAGATGGGAGCTGCAGGTGCAAGGAAATGACTTCAGATGTGAAACATTAATCAGTTTGCGTTTTTCCTTCATTTTGATTGCGTGCTCAGTATGTTTTTAATAGTAGTTTTTGTTTATTTTACTTGAGTTAGTAACAGACGAGTCAAGCAAGTCTGGAATCTTTGAGAAGGTTTTAAAGAAATCTTCCATTTTTCTTTCTGCGAGAGAATTCACTTAGTAACTGCTTTGAATGAACTTTTAAAGTAATGAATGGAGTGTTACTGACTATAAATAAATAGAAAGGAGTGCAAGTTGCTGATATTCCTAACACAGTTAAAGCTGTTGTTCAGTTTGATATTGAAATAAGAACACCTTGGGAATTGAACTGTTTGCAGACTTGAATTTTCATGTAGTTCTGTCTGCTGTAATAATAATCCAAGGCCTGTAGTGTTCATCCATCTGATAGAGTTATAATTTGCTACAGTGAAATGACAGTTAAGGAGACAGCGCTTCAAAAAAATCATAATTTATTGTATCCTCAAAAGTTTTAAAGGCAGATGTGTGGATCCAAGCCCACTGTGTATGTACTTATATCAACATGTTCCTGCACACCGATTTGCGTAGGCACATACCATTATCATCATTTTATAAAATTGGTATCCACACACACAAATCGCCATTCAGCTATCTATTACCTTGTAGAACTCTTGTAACTAGAATTGGAAGTCTAAGCATGCAGTGTGCATGTATTTTAATGTTTCAACCTCTAGAATCTTTTCTTTAGGTAAAAGTTTGACTAAAAATTTGTCTCTGCAGTTTGGGCCCAGCTGCTCCATGCTTACTGACCTGTGAGCTTGAGCGAGCAACTGTTGACATCAGTGGAGTATGGTGTGGACTCTGGCACTGTCCCATCCACAGCAGCCTCTAGGACAGGGGTCTTTGCTTTCTACACTCTCATGTGATTGGAAAACAGAAACAGATGGGTCAGTTTTACTCAGATTGAGTTAATTTCCTGTTCCAATTCTTGCATAAATGAACATATTCCTACTTTTTTGTTAGCTGTGCACCGTGCAGCCTTCATTCACCTTCTTTATATGTATGCATTACGAGACAACCTTTAATTACTACATGATCACTGTCCTTCTATTATTGTTTTTCCAAAGACCTTTGCCTCATTTATGCAGAATAGGTGTTGCTCTCATATGAAGCTGCTGCTTGGTATTTTCTCTGTTCATTGTTCATAGGCACTTTATTTACCATTCAGTATGCTTTTCTTTCTGTTCAACTTCTTAAGTTGTACCCAGTGTAAGGCAATAAAAAAGACTGCTTCACTAGGTCAGACATTTTAACCTGAGATTAACTGTGTTTAAAATGCTTACGTATGTGAAAATTGATTAATGTATGGATCAGTTAATTACACTGCACATTCTGACAACCTATTGTGTTTGTATATAAAAATCTGACTAGCTTTAGGCCATATCTCTATTTCAGTACAAGTATCTTGAAAGAAGGAACGTATGAAATACTGTGCTTGAAGTATAAGTAAGACTATGTTAGTAAAAGTCATTAATGTGGTATAAGGCAAGATTTTTTTTGGTGAGAAAACTCTGTTTTCTGATACACTTTTTTCATAATTATATAAGATAAAATTATTTTAAAGAACAGAGCGATCAGAATGAAGTAGGGCTAGAAATGGAACGGGAGGAGAAAGTAGGGAGTAGTGAAGCTAAGAGGAGCCCAAATGTTTTATAATCATGTAAAATACAGATGAGTGATTAAAAAGTCAGTTAATGTGTCACACATTTTAATGTCCAACAGTACAGTTGTATTAAAAAACCAAATATCTCCCGGCATCATTTATCTCAAGCATAAAGATCTTAAAAGAAACAGTAAGTTTTACACATGTAATTGTCTTCTATCATGGAAGTGACCCATATATCTGAAAATGTCTTGGACCTTTCTGATAGAGTATACAAATCCTTCCCATAGCTGCTGAACTTACTAAGTCTTGAGCTTCAGTCTTCAGCTGTGGAGTATCTTTTTGCATTTCTACTTCTGTTACAATAGTCTCTCACTCCTCTGCTGACCTAAAGTTTTTGTGTTTGCTTAGCTTCCATTTAGCATCTTTCAAGCTTAAAATTACATAGTAGCTTGTTATGCAATATCATTTGATAGGAAGAAAGATAAATTCTTTAGTTCTGACCAGAACAAACTGACAAGGGAGCAGTCCCAAAGCATGTGGGTTTTATTAGTGCTGAATCACAGCTCCACCTTTGGTTTGATTTATTGAGATGTATTTTAAATAGTCAGAGTCAAATGCATCTTACGTATGATTTTCTGCTGGATAGTCTTAAACAGAAGTCCAAAGAACGATTGAGGGCTCTGTGTAGAACCATTGATACATAACAGATCTAGTTCCTCATCTTTTGCTTAGGTATTTATGTGTGTTCTTCCATGTTTACACACATAAAATAGAAGGAATCTGTGTTTAATTAAAAGTTTTAGGTGGTGGTATATTTAGTATTTTTAGTGGACAGTGAGAATTTGTGTAACTTCCAAAGAAATGAAAACATTTGAAGTGAATTTCAGACAACAGGCTCTGGTGTCAAAGTGTTAGAAGTCATGTTCAAGCTGCATGCCTTCACTTCCCTGCCTGAGGTCTAGTTTGAACCTTCCCATCAATAAGGTAAGGAGGAAGGCCAACGCTTTGTTCAGTGAATTAAGTGACAGTCAACATACTTTTTCCAACTTATCTGGTCCCTGAATGGACTTACCTGGTCTGAGGTGTTTTGACATGTACCAAGATGTTTTTTGTGAAAGACCTGGGGCTCTGACAGAAATGCTTTTACAAATATAGCTGGGGTGATTTAAGGCTTGCTTTCATTAGTTATTTATGCTAGACCTAAGAGGCTGTCCTTAGGTACAATTCAGGCTTGTTAGTATGGACAGTTTACTAAAATTGGTTTGTGTCAAAGCACTGGACTGTGAATTTGGGCAGATCAGGCAGGGATACAGGGTTGCTTTCTGCTGCTGTGCTATACATGGACAATAACCGCAGTCAGAGAAATGCTAGGGAAAGGTCATACAGGGGGTTGATATCACCTTAAATATTCACAAAAAGATTGCGAGAAATCCTTGTCAGAGTCTCCTATGTGCTATGTTTTCTTGCTTGCCACAGTAGGTGATCATTTTTCATTAGGGAATTGCTAGTGATCTGAATGCAGTTCACTGGCATGGGTTAAATGGGCAACAAATTCTGCTTTTGACTGGAGCCAGTCAGTGGCTCCGTGGCCTGGGGCTTGAACTGTTAAGCTGTCTGGCTAATGATTGCTGCCTGATAATAGAGCATATAGTTGGGCAGTCGTGCCTGCACTTGGTAGGAAGTTGTTGTCTTTGGAGGGGCATTCTGGGCTTGTTACCAAAACGCCAAGAGAAGGATTTCAACATGTTGCTGATTTTGTTAAATAAAAGTCAGGAAGATGAATGGGGAGGGAATTCAAAATAAACAGGATCCTAGGAAGGGAGCTCATATATCACCCAAAAGGGACTAAGTAACTTTTACCATTTAGTTATGTCATTTACAAACTGCATAATTGATAGGGATAGTTTAACTTTGACTGGGTAATTTCTGTAAGGAATTGGATGTAAGTGCATTTGGAGTTTATTTGTTGCCAAGTGAGTATCCTTTCAGTTGTATCACTTTTAGGCACGAAATCTCCATTGCTCTTATGCACCTCATTTATATTTCAGTTAGAGAAGTTAACTGGAAGTATCTGTTGGTCATAGAGTACTTGAAATATCTAGATTTGAGTTTTTCATAAAGAGGATATAATTTGTCTTTACTGTTCAGTGTTCTTTCTTTAATATCAACATGTGTGATCAGAGAGAGGTACCTGTCTGGTGCCCCAAAACAGTTCAAGAGGGGAAACATGCTGGTCATTGCTCAAGACAAGAATTAGAGTAATAATATAGCATCGTTAGTCATGAAATAAAATGTCTTCTAAACCCAGATCTGTCTAGTTACTGCTTCAAGTAGCCCTCATTCCTAGGGTTCTCAAAAGTACTTCTCTCAACCTATTTCTCAGTCATTGGGTCCTTGCTCTTCTTTGCCGTTGACTCAGATATGCTACATGCACTAACAGTGCAAAGAAGACTTCTTGATCTCAATTCACAGTCTGTATCCAGATTTGATCTGCTCAGCAGCAGCCCAAAGTTGCAGTTGTGATTAAAATTGTTGGCTTCAGTCTGGACTATGGTGAGAGCAGACAAGAGTCTTTACGGAATGTAATTATGAGGGTCTAGCAAATCCTTAGCGAATGTGTGTGAACTCATTTTTCAAAGGCTTTTTCAGTTTGGCCAAATGTCAATAAAATTCCACAAACTGCAGAGTAACAGTTTCTGCATATAGGGAAAGGTTGCTTCCTAGCTTCTGGGTTTCCAGCCAGGGAAGAACATAAGGTGTATGTAGGGAAGTGAGATTATTTAATAATATGAATATAGGCAGCACTGTGGTTGTATCTGATTTCTAACTTATATTTTCTTTCTGGTCTCATTGAACTACTTGCAACAAAGACAAAAACAAACTATAATTTGTTTTATGATCTGACTCAGCATTTATTTGTGATTACCCTGGTCATCCACAAGTCTTTGCTTCCAAGTGTAAAGTCACTAGAACCTCTTAAAGAAATAGCATCAAAGCTTAAAAAAACCCACATTATTCCCTAACTTTTCTCTTGGACACTTCTGAACCATTTCATCTGGGGAGGAAGAAAAATAGCCTGAGGATAAAATTTCACTCCAGATGGTTAAAGTCGGGCAAAATTATAAGCAACTGAAAAGTCAGACCTATAACGGGATGTGTCATGCAGACTTGATAATAGGCAAATGTTAAAAGCCATGCAAGTATGAGGTAAGTGGTAATTTGTTTTCCTGCTCTGTTTTGGAGCATCAAAATAAAAGCCCTTAAGATAGAATAGATTAATCCTAATTTTAAGACAGTTTGTAGAATGATGGTTACTGCCTTATTCTTAATAGATATTTAGAAAAATGAAGACAGCTTTAATCATAAAGGAGATTTTTAATTTCGCAGTATAATATACAGAATATAAAACCACTGCTAATACCAGCGGTATCTTCCAAGTGTACTGTGGGACTGATTATAAAAGTTGATGCAATCCAATCAGGGAATCTAGCTGCATTAATGTATACAGAGACGGTGCAAATATTGTCAAGGATGACCACTTCGGTATTACTTTTCACGCACTTTTGAAACAACTGTAACAATGATCTTTTCATATTCTTTATTTCCATATAAGCTTACTCTGTATCTCCAACAAAGTTTCCACAAGTGGAAGGAGACAGTAGTTCTCTGTTTACATACAGGATAATGGTACAGAATGGCAAGTAGTGATATGAAGTAAGGGGATTTCATACTTTTATCATCCTGTGAGCAATACACTGTAGTTAGGACAGAATGACTCCTGGCACAGTTAATGATGGCATTCTTGCCACAGCAACACTGAGCCCAGCACTGTGTAATCTACCTTTTGTAATAAACAATTTTGCAGCCGCTGCAACATAGCCTGAATCTCACTCATAATCTAAAGGAGGAAGGCTTAACTGTGTTACTGGTAGTTTCCGTTGTGCAGTCACTCTTTCTTTGACACCCTAACAATGCCATAATCAGAAGGAGAAAGAGCATCTTTTGTTGAATGCCACAGCAGAGTCCCTAAATAAAACTTTTCTGCCTTTTAGGAAACATTCTTGAAGACCTTAGAGAGCATGTAATCCTCTTCTTATGAGATTGTTCAGAGGAGTGTGTTGTGTCAAAGTGATTGGCATTAAAGTCAGGTCATGTATAGTGTGGGGTGCCACAGAACCTTTGTGTGATGTCAGGTGTAACTTTCTAAATAGGGCTTATCATACTGTTATAAGTGAGGATGATAGTAATGCTGTTTCACTGGCATTGCACCTTCTTTGTAAATCCATGAAAGAAATTCTAGCTGCCTTTTCTTTGCTGAATTTACTCCTTAGTTGGTGTGGTTGGCAGCAACATTGTGAATTTTGTCATGGAATGATGAGTAGGTATGATCTTCCAACAAGGTATGTGCATTAAGGAAAAAAAAGCCTTATGTGGTTATATAATTAAAGACAGTGTGATAATATAAGCACAGTGGAGAGAACATAAACACCCTTAATTCTGGTGTTTCTTAGCCTTTGAGTATGTGAAACTGCAGCCTTTAACAGTTTTAAATATAGTCTGTGTGTGCGTATTATAGATTAAGTAAAACTGGGAATGTGGGATTCTGTTGAAATAGTCAGCAGGCTTTTCAAGTCCATTTTCTTTCAATATTGACACTTTTTGCTTGAGTGGGTTGGAAAACTGACAAACATAACGTCTGTTGTATAAATAACTGAGCAGTGTATCACCATAGTGGATATACAAACTTTTTTATCATTCTGTTATCTGCAGTCTTTATAGATCCATTGCTCATTACCAATGCAGACACACAGTTATGTCTTTATAAACATACTAACCGTGGTGCTTTGTTCATTCTCCAGGATTTTCTTTGCATGCTGTTGGACGACATCCCTGAACAAAAAGAGTAAGTGAGAACCAGACTAGAAAAGTCAAAGAAGAAAGTAGAAATCAGACTTAAAATATCAGCTGTGCTAGCCAGAAATAGTAGGATTTCATTTAGTATTGTTCTGCTTCTGTTTTTCAAGTGTGTGTGTATCTTCCTCTGAAAATTCTCAGACATATATAGACAAAAAATATGAGACTTCATGTGTTGTTGCTATCCCATGCTCCCCTCAAGCAGTGCCTTTAACTTGCGTCTTAGGGCAGCAGTGAGATCCTGTGGGCGCTATGTGATCTGAAGTGCCAGGCAGAGCTGCCTCCCCAAATTAATCTGTGATCCTCCTGCCACCTGCTTTTGGCACATGGCACCCTACAGCAAGGAGGCCAGAGCTTTGCCATGGATCTGGGAAACCAGAGAAGATGGATTTTCCTCAAGCAGTAGTGTGGTACCATCCTCTCCCTGTCAAACAGTGTGCCAAATGGGGAAGGATATAAAATGCTAAGGGAAATCCAGCATTAATTGCCTGACGTGTCCTTCAAAATCCTGCGGAATATGACTGTGACTGGCCGAGGGTGATATAGCAGAGTTTTGAATCCATCCCTGCTTATCCGTTGGTTTATTTTGTGCTACTACAGCCTGTGCTACAATTACGGCTTATTTTGTAGTGGAACTTTACATATTATAGTTTTTAAAAATAATGTATTCACTTGAAAAATGCAGGTTTTGGGAGCAGGATTCCAAAAGTCTTCATAAATCTTGGTGAGTAGCTTGGAAAAAAGAGAGAAGATAGTCATAGAAGTCAAATGTATTGAGGTTTTTAGTGAAACACTTCTGTTCTTAGGGAGTGAGGGACAGAGAAGCTAGTTATCATTGAGATAATGCGTTTTGTAGTATGATGAGTTCAGTTTTGGTGGTGTTATATTTTCCAGTGACAAGTCTTCACAAATCTTGGTGAGTAGCTTGGAAAAAAAAGGAGAGAAGATAGTCATAGAAGTCAAATGTATTGAGGTTTTTAGTGAAACACTTCTGTTCTTAGGGAGTGAGGGACAGAGAAGCTAGTTATCATTGAGATAATGCGTTTTGTAGTATGATGAGTTCAGTTTTGGTGGTGTTATATTTTCCAGTGACGTACCATAGGATGGTATTTTGTTTATATTGGTGGATATGGGTTTCCAGCCCAAATATAATCAGGAATATGAAATGGAATGTATGGGAAATGAATTAATTTAATGGCATGATTACACATTGATTTATTAATACATTTGTTAATAAAATCTGTTTTCCTTCCTTTTCTCACTTGTGTTTCTCTGAAGTCAAAACCCAGTGCAAAATGTTATTTGAATAAGCATCTGATTTTCAGCCTAGAAATACGCCAAAATATTTAAACTTTCAGTGAGACTAATGCAAAAGAAGTACACCTCCTTTTGTGTTGCATCATACTCCAGAACGTATAGACAAAATTTCAGATCTATGGTAATTCATTTTACAATCAGACATATAGCATATCTGGACTTACCTACTGCCAAAATTACCTTGGGTGCAACTGTCAACAGCCATGCCAAGAATAACAGAACATACAGTAGGCCTTTATTTCTTATCTGCTACAAAGATGGTTTCTTTTCATTCTTGAATGTATTCTGTTGCTAGTACACAAATACTAGCCTGAGGTAAAAGCAGAGGGAGGAAAGATAAAAATGAAATATTTTTAGAGATCATCTGCTGATGAGTGCTTTTTTGCACAAAATTTCAGTCATAGGAATGAAATGCATTTCAAGATTAGAGCAACAAAATTCTTTGTAGCACACAAAACCACCCAGACTTGTGCAATTCTACCAAGTAAAATTTTAATGTTAAAACTAAATGCTTCTTACTTGAAAAATATTAAGCACTCTAATATACTGAAGTTTGTAATGGAGGCTGGACTTAATCATAAAAAGAAGAAAAGATAAGAGAAATTAGTAGTAGGGAATCAAACCAAATCCTGCCCTCCACTGTGCAACAGAGGCAAACTAGTATAGCTAGGAGTAGCACATGGCTTATGGGCGACTTTTGTAATGAGAACAGGATTAACACTGGAAGAAAGCAATCATACAACAGTGTGCAAATTTTCTGTTATTATTACATTGGTGTAGAATCATAGAATCATAGAATCATAGAATTGTTTAGGTTGGAAAAGACCTTTAAGAGCACAAAAAATTACATGTTGTGTAATGCAACATTAGTTTTCTGCTGTTGGATGCTGCAGACTATATCTAAAAGATTCTCACCCTTCCAGTACTTAATTCCTTTGGTTTTTAGTTACAAGAGATTTTTTAGTACATTCCCAGCAATGAACAGTTCCAAGATACAGACATAACTTCTTAGGTGGCAGTCATTGATTTTTGCTGCCTTCTGTACTCAGAGGAGGAGGATCATATGCCTAGTTTATAGGGCTAGTTCACTTCCTGCTCTGACTCAATTTTAATGGCATGTTAGCGGTAGGAATCCATTCTCCAAGGCAGGATCATCCTGTTTCTGGACTGCGGCTGAATACTGACATCAGACAGGCCTAGCAGTACCTTCTGGTCCTTTAGACTTTCCTACCTGCTATTAAGATTATTTCTATGTGTGAAGGGCTAATGGCAAGAAGGACAAAAAAATATCTATCATTATCCTTCTCTGTTTTCAAAGCCTTTTAAAATATAACATGCACTGGCTAATTAATAATAATATGAAGCTATTCTCACGTTAACTTGGCCTTTCTGTAGGAAACCTACAACACATCCCACCTGTAACTGAGGCATCTTATTTCCCCATATATAATTTGAAACTTCACTGCATTAAAAAAACCCAAACCAAACAACAACAAAAACCTCTCTTATGTGTCTGTATATCACGGTGGACTAGACTTCATAAAACTTCCAGTGTCTCTGTTGTCCCCAAGGCTTACACCCATAGTCTTTGCTGTAAACTGATCCTATCCACATCTGCCCAACATGTGAGCAGTGCAAAGACTCAGTGTTTTTAAGGCCCTGTAACAGAGGGTGAGTTTCACCAGCCTCAGATAAATCAGCATTTCAGCTGCTTGTGCTCTTCATGACTGCAGATTTTTTTGGGTGGGTCAGTTCTGTTCTTTGGGGTTTTCTGGGGGTATTTTTTATTTAATTTCATTCAATAAAATAAATAAGTGTACTAATAAAGCTATGGTTTTAATAATACACGATAGACAAAGGAAGGCTTGTGTTGCTCTGCTATTTGTACCATTAATAACTCGGGCTTACTAACCACATTCCTTTAATGTCTTCATAAATTGTCAGTTAAGTACTAAATCAATGTTAAAATAATGATGTAATTTCAAACTACTCAGCTGTACAGGTATATGTCTCTTTCTTTCATATGTGCTTTCTTTGTTACGTTGTCATGAATGTGGTAATTTTGATTGAGACAAACAGCTGGTAGGCACTCAACTCCCAAAGCAAGTAACTAGGAAAGATTTTTTTCCAGTGTTTCATCCATTTTTTTGGTAAGCCAAAATAGATATGCTGGGCAAAACCCAAAGGAAATCTTATCTGCAGGAAACTATGGCTAGTTGGCAGAATCACTAATCAGTCACTAGTCTTTGATTTGCTCTAACTATGCCTCCATATTTAGCTGGAATGGCTTACTTTGAAAATTATTGATGTGTATGAATGTATATATCCAGATGAAGCAAATATGCTTGTGGAAGTATTTTCAGTTGGGTGTGGCAGACTTTTTATCTTCCTTTACACACACACACACATTTTCATGTGCACTGTTTATTTGCTGCAATATCTTATTCTAAAAGTGGTTTCTCCTTGACTGAGGAATTAAGTGGGTTTACGTTAAAGTTTGTAGAGTGCCTTTGGGCCTTGTGCAATGAAAGCTGGATATATAGACATCTTTTATAATGTTAATTTTCAAACTATTATTAATGTTAGTATTTTACAGCGCTTTCTCTGAAGCATTGAATCTGGCCATGAACAGTATGTATGTATGTTAGGTGATCATCCCTAGGCTGATCAGCTTATCATCTAAACAAATAGACAAGGGATGAGATAACTGATGTACTAGCGTTCTCATTTTACAGTAGGGAACTGTAGTACAAAGCAATTGAAGAAGCTGCCCAGCCTTGTGAGAGCTCTGTTATAGTGCTAGTCAGCTGAACCCAGACCCCACAGTCCAATACCATACCTTAACCAGAAGGCCATTCAGGAAATCACACACAGAGCAGATTTAAGTCCTTACACATGCTTAACTGCAACATAAGCAGGTGGTAAGTGCTCTTGCTGAATATAGATGCTTTACTGAACTGCAGACTCTATAAATACAAGACCCTGTGTCCTTTATCTAGGACATTTGTTTTGAAATAGTAATCTGTTTGTGATCTATTTTTTGGGCTTGATTCAAAGCCCAACAGGTTAGTGGAAACTTTTCCAAGGACTTCATAGTTCTTCAGCATTGACTCTCAAAACATTCAGAGTAAATCTTTGCAGTAGTCTGCATATTACTAATACATTTGGGAAAAAAAAATAGTGAATGCCTGTGAAATGCTAAAACAAGTGATGGGTGCCAATAGGAACGTCCTAGGTTGGAAAAAAAAAAAAGGTGTGTGAAAGTACAAACAAGGAAGACTGCATGTGGTCATATGACAGGTGTTTAGCTGAAACTGAGGGTGCTGCAGGCAGAGAAATAGCAGTGTTGTTGTCTTTGCCCTTGAGAAAAATGTCAAAGTTTCAGGAGAGGCTGAGCAACTTAATAGTGGTGTTTCTGGCTGGATTAGTGTGGTGTCAGAACAGTGCAATTCCCCTCAGTGTCATAAGCTTATTTCAAAGTTACTGTTTTGAAATGAGCTCTTGTTGGCTTTGAAAGAAATAGAGGGTATATTAAATAAAGGCACTACATAGCAAATGCAGTATTATTATTTTGCATAGATTTCACGCCCCCCCCCGCCCCGAGGAAATCTCGCACTTTAAATTAAGCTTAGTTTCGGGGGGCGGAGCACAAACTGGCATTGCGAGGCTGTTTCTTGTCCCTAGGTAAGACAAATTCAATGCACAAATAAATGTATTTTTTCCCTAGCTGCTAGCTCTGCTTCAGTATTGGAACACTAAGCTGTATTGGTTTTGATTCATGCAACAACAAATAAAAACCTGTTATTCTGATTATGCTGCTTGAGACAGAATAAATGGTATGATCCACCTGATCTACCTTTGACTGTATAAAATTTGGGTGTCCAGTTCTAAGCTAGTCCTGTATGCACTCTCTCTAGTAACCAGACAGAAATAAAAACTCAAGAAAAAACTTCATCTTATCCCGAGGAAGGTGAATTGACTAACTGGAAATACTTCTCTTCCTCTCCATTCCCTGTGGAAGTGACTCAGCTAACTTAGACTAGATACCAATTTTTAGAGCACTGTAGTAAGTTGAAGGTAATTACAGACTGAAGGATCTGGCATTCAAGTGCTCTAAATTTAATAAATTTGCACAAATAACGTGGTACTACTAAAAGCTGACCAAATCTGGATATTTAGTAATTCATTTGAATGTAGAACACTACCCCATTACAAGCATGGCATATATGTTCAGGTATATGTAGAAAATAGATTTCCATAGTGATCAGACATGCAGAATGGTAATTTCCTGAAAATTCAGAATCCTGGCTATGTAGAAATGCTTCTGCATGACTGCTGGAATTATTTGAATCATATGATCAGGGGGAATTTTTTTTTTATGTGACAGTCTATGATCTCCTAATGCTATAAGAGGTATTTTGACATTTCAGATTTAGTGATTGGGAGGATATCTTTGTCTCTATGGGAATCATTCTCCATTCCAGGACTTTTTTTAAGTCACCTCATCCAGGCTGATGTGTCATCTCTTGTAAAGACACTGTTGAAGTAAAGTTTGGACCTAAATTGCATGAACTATCAAAATACATAACCAGCAGTGAATAGACTAGTGCTGTTTCCACATTAAGGCTCCTTGGCCTGCACCATAAGATATGACTGGTCAAAAACTGAAGAAGACTATTAACAGAAAATGAAAGCATGTATAAATGGCTTCATTGTCATTGTAATCTGAATCTTTAATCTGTAGTTTCTTCCCATTTTCAGTATGATGCTGTAGCCTATGTATGCAAGCATTTCTTAGTAGCTGAAAGACATAGGGCAGCATTTGTAAGGCAAGACTTTCTTGTGCTTAAGGCACTTGGTGTCTCTATTTTGCCTGTCCTATACAAAATTCCTGTGTATGTTGGACAAGCTTAAGACCAGGTTGCTTATTTTTTGCATATACTGTTGAACAGTTACTCAATGAGAAGCCAGCTGACTCTCTATTTTGATCAGATTCTCCCACCGCTAATTTACATTGGCAGAATTTTATTCTGTTAGGTATACCTGCTCATTTTAATGGACGTCCTTCAGAATACTGTTCAGTGTGAGTAGGGATGACAGATCTTGTAGAGTGGAGGTTGTAGCTGCTAATTCTACCTCAAAGGAATGCTAACACATAGTTCTGCTTGGAGACAGAGGGCAAATTTTTCATCCTGGATTCAACAAGGAAAAGAATATCTAACTCAGGATATAAGCCATGTCTGGAAAAGTGCTGTTGTTACATGTATTACTATCAATAATCTAAATCTTTGGTCATTCCAAATAAAACTAGTCAACATAAAAAAAAAGTAATAACTATGATCTGTAAACACACAGGAATTTTTACTCTATGAATGTGTTCCAGGGTCATCCACTAACATATTGCTTGACTGCTTCTGAGACTCCATAAGCTCTCTAAGCCTTATGTTTGGCGTTTGCATGTCAGGCATAATAGTGATTGATGTCTCACCCACTGGCATAGCGAAAGTTAGTATTTAAAGGTGTTTAAAAATCATTCATTAAAAATGACTCATGTATTCATTACAAATCCTTCTTAGTCACTGATACAGTCCATAAATAAACATATTTTAGGGTCAGAATTCTGAGCACAGCTTTGTCAGTGGTTGGGAAAAAAAAAAGGCTTCTTTGTCATGTAATTCAAATAAAAATTGTATTAGGTAGCTTGCCTTCCTGCTTCAGAGCTTCTAAATGGCTGCTCTTTTCATGAATGCTTTGTTGGTTATAGGTCTACATTACACATGTGAAGGTAGCTGCAAGTATTAGAATGAGTCTTGCCAAGGCGTTACCATGCACAGGACCATGCATGTCTGTTCTGCTTCTCAGAATATTTATATTCATTGAGGGCTTACTCAAGTTCTTTTTTCAGTATTGGTACACTACATGGACAGTGTGATTTTTTTTTTTTTAAATCGGCTTCCTTGCAACCAGAGTTGAAGTAAATGCAACAGAAGTTGCTTACAAAAGTAAAAGGGGAAACATAATTTCCGAATTTGCAAATACGTATGTATATGGTTATTTCAGTCCCACACAGCTTGATAATGACAAACTATTTCCTTTTGTTGGGGCTTCAGACTGTTGTGTAACTTCACTGTGAATGTTATCAGGATATAAAGACAGTACAGAAAAGATGAAACTGAAATATATTAGATACTTGGTAACTCTGAGGATTAATATCCATCAGTGCTTTTTAAAACCCAAAAGTTTAAGGATTTTTGTATTTCATTTTCTTTGGTATTTTATCTTTACTTGTTTTATCTTTAGGCTGCTTCTGTAATAAAATACTGGTTTTGAATGTCTCCAGCTAAATTTACTTGCCTGTGATTTTTTTTTCTGTAAAAGAAACAAAAATCCACTCAACAAAGAGTACCTGTTCATACTTTACATGTTTCATAAATGCAGTTTACCATCTTACACTTTCTCTGTCAATCCTCATAACCACTGAATTTATCATTTCAGTTTTAAGCACACGATACCTGATCTGTTTTTAGTTTGCTCATACCACCTCTGATGGTGGTATTCATTAAAAACACAAAAATGTAGTACCACTGCAGTACAACCAGTCCTTGGAATTCAGAGTTTTGATCAGCTTCTAAAGGGTTAATTTTCATGTGGAAAAGTTGGTGTTTGTGTGTGTGTCTTCTAATTTTTTTTATTCTTTATTTTTTTAAGATCTGGGTTAACTGTAGAAAGTATCTTCCAGAATTGGCTTGACACTTCCGGAATACCAAAGGTAAATACAAAATACCAGTTCCCAGTTCTTTCTGGAGTCTTGCGTTTCTCATTACGTTATATGTTATTTAAATGAATCTGAACTTCTATCAGGTGTGGCTTTAAATAAACAGTTTTGATGATGACTGTTTTCCACATCTTTATATAGGTTTAGCTTTTATTGATTGCAGGTTTTGCTTCTATCCATCGTCTCAACAAACCTGCCAAAGGGCAAATCTTAGAAAACTGATCCTTTTATTTAATATTGTAGGCACGTGGAAGTATGCTTTACAGTATAGTGGGGGACTCTACTAAATGTAAGGAGCATTGTTCACAGTTGTCAGTATATGAATTACTTGAAAGCCATACTGATAGCAGTAACTAAATGTTAATTTATTTGTACTTTGATATATTGTGAATATTGTGAGTTGCTCAAGAATCTGCTGCATGGGTAACATATTTCATTGGTGTTGCAGCTGTGTTGCAGTTGAGACTGAGCATTATTTTCTGCTTTTAATACTAAAAACTTTTAATATTAATCTTATAAGTTCTGTGAACTGAAAATGCTTAGTTGTGTCTGTGCTATGTGAAGGGTCTGATTATTCGTTTTGGTCCAAAACTAGGATTAGATGAAGAAAGATATCTCTGTATAACTCTTCATAAAAAAGTTTTATACAAAGTATGTTTTTATTACATACTTGGGGCCCAATTTCTGATTTCCTTTAAGCTGACATCCTCTAGGTTGCTTGGGATTTGTCTTACCTAGTGCTTGCATTTGTTTCCACTTTGCATTAGCATTTAAAAAAAAAAAAACAAACCTGTTAAGAGTTAGAATGAGAAGTCCTGGTTTGTATGTGCACGAGTGAAAGTCCTTAAGCAGCATGACTGAGGCTCTGAGGAGTGAGCATGTTTGCAGGTAGAATTGTCAAAATAGCTAGAGAGCTCAAAATGATAAGCAGGGGTCACTGAACCTGAGCTGTACCCAAACACTGTGGTTGAGCTCTTTGCTTGACAGCTTTAGAGGTGTGCATGTCCACTGGTCTCTGTATGCTGTAGAAGGCTCTTTGGGAAATTTCGCCCTGAAATCAAAATGTTTGAAGACTATTATTTGAAGATGCTATAAAATCAAGGTGGAGTTTGTTTTTTGCTATAAAATTACTGAAAATAAAATTGGCTTTAATTGGAAAGGAGGAAAGGAAGGGACAGTAAATATCATCGTGCATCTTGATGGTCAGTCATTTCTTGAAAAAGGACCTTGAGTTTAATGCTATGTTTTGATCATTGTTTTGTCCTGATAGGGTATTCAATACATTGTAGAACAGCTGCTTCAAGTATAGGGGAGAAACTCATGTTGCGTAGCTGTAGTTGAAAGGTGCTGAACTGTCTGTCTGAAGTGAGAGAGTTTTCTGGCATTTTACTTACATGTATCTCTTTGAGGATATGCCTTATTAGTGTCCCACAGTCAACTCGAAAATCACAAATAAGGAAGATGGGAGCAGACTAAGGAATTGAAAATGGTTTTGATTAATGTGAAAACTGAACTCTGTTTTCCTGAGTGTGTACTGTAAGTCATTCAGAACAAACAGTGAGTAGTTTCATTATACCCTGCAAGTATCTACTGGTTGCGTAAGCAAAACATGTAGCAAAAATACTTACACATCCAGCAGGCTTGGAAATTGTTGTAAATTTTCTTTAAAGACCGAAGAGATTTCCCTGATAGTTTGGCTGTTTTCTAAAAGCGATGTCAACAGGAATGGTGCTGATTTAGCATTCTGCTTCTTGTGAGAATCACCATGCTGACCTCTTCCCTCTGTCTCTCTCTTCCCTCAGTAACCTTTCTGGTGATTTACCCTTGTTACCTCCAGCACTTCTCAGGCTCTTGTGGGAACTAGTTTCCACTTTATTGGAAGAACTGGAGTTGTCATTCAATGAATAGGAAACCTTGTTTCCTGTGTGCTTTATTAAATCATTTGGGGAGCCCTTATTCCTGAAATCAAGACTGTAGAGGTTGCTTAGTAGCTCTCTATGTTTATTATCTATAATGTAAATATGACTGTATGTACTGACTACAGAACTATAAATCTACTCGTGCTGTACAGGAGCTGATATTGAAAACCCCTTGAAAAGTATTTAGATTATTTCAGCAAACTATTAATTTGGCTAACATGATGAATCTATGTGAAGGCACACAGACCACCTTCTTACATGCAGTTGAACTACCTGCATCATAAAGAGCAGCCCAGGAATGC